TCCAAAAGGAGCTTCCTCTCCTGCAAGGAATATATACAGTCATAATTAAATTCAGTTAGAACCAAGAAAGCAATCACCACATACTTTTGCATACAAAAGAAAATAATGACACTATAAAATCTCTCCCAACCAAACTCCAAGAAAGAAAAACACTTAATTGTTCAAGCAAAGATGTGTGGGTACTTACTGAGTTCCAAGTAGGCTTGTCAGTGCTGCAAAACCAGCAAAATGCAACCAATCAGTACATAGAAGTACAACTTTAATTTGTCAAAACTGAAAATATTATGACTTAAGCAACCACAACCAAGTTAGTGAGACTGTTACTTAATAACCACTGAGTTATAAGTTCGACTCTCAACAAGAGAGCTTATTGCTTTTACTTTGCCAAAACTTCAACTCTAAACAAATTACAACATTTTTGGCGTTTGTAATTTGTGAACACAGAAACAAGAAGCTGAAAGAGGTACTTAACTGATCAGAGGTGTGAGTTCGAAAAGTTTGAAAACCAAGCGTAACGCAAGCAAGCCATTTGTCCTTGAATTTCATGGTCGCCTTCAACAGTAAAAATGTCACATCATATCACTACTACTGCTACTAAAGCGAGCATTTATTCATGTAAAGTGGAGAGAGGCAAGCTAGTAAGTTATATAAGTACATTGACGAGGCGGAGGCGAGCGATGCCGGCGAAATCTTCTTCGCTGAGGAGCTTATCGGAGTGCGAACCGGAGGTCGTCTTCTTCCTGCGACCGTGGCGGCAGTGGCGACGGAGGCTGGGGCGGAGGCGGGGACGGAGGCGGAGGCGCTGACCGAACCTTCTGATCCGGGAGGGACTCTGACTGGTGCCGGAGTCGGAGTCGGAGTCGGACGAGGAAGAGTCGGATTTGGAGGCGCCGTGTCCCATGCGTGAATGCAACAGAGAGCGAGCGAGCGAGAGAGAGAGAGAGAGAGAGATTCTATGCGTGAAGGTGAGGAGAAAGAAAGGGAGAATCCGCGTGGTGGTGAGAAGACGGACTGAGAAATTGAATATGAAAACGGGAAAAGATCAAAGTGAAGTTTCTGAATTCATACTCGCCGGCGGGCGGCGGCTGGGCTTCCAGTTCGATCTTGACTTGGACGGACGCGAAAATGCACACCAGCTGCTCGGCTATTTGACTCTGCATTTTTCTGCAACCAAACCGCGCCTTCTTTTTAGGACAACGATATTCTAACTAACTCTACGCGGCAGCTCCCCCTGAAAGGGGAATATTTTGTTTGTTTATATTGTCGCAGTCCAAGTTCTAGATACCAATGCTTTTCTCACTTGTCATAAATATTCACACTCCACCTTACTCCTGGATTGAATAATAGTTACAAATTTTCCTAGTCAATAGCGTAAAATAAGAGTGTCGAAGTAAGTTAAATTTATTCATATGAGCAGCCTAGCTGTTACTCATATGATAAATTGAAGGTGATGATTCAATATCGAGCCCTAATAACCACCGACACTAGTCCTTTCACCTAAAAAATTACTGAGCCATCATGATTAATTTGGATGCTCTCGGGACAATGGACTACGCCTATGGCTTACGCCTTTTGACTTTTGAGAGTGAAGTTGAATTTGCAAAAGCCCACCACCCCTAGATGGCATGTAGTGATTCACCGACCTCCGGCCTGCTTCTTGACCAGCCTCTAAATCCATAAGACCACAACCCACCACCCACTGTACTATGTGGCAAGCAAAGCCAACAAGATAAGTCCATTTGACAGTTTTAGACGTAATAAACTTCTTCCGCTAGAAAACTTCTTTAACATAAACTAGTCTTATATAAAATTTTGTATTTTACTTTAAATCCATAAATAGAAAATGAAAGCCATGTAGTACAAGAAAATAAGAATTTACCATTACAAGAAAATAAGAATTTACCATTGCACATTTGCACTAAAATTAATCATTGGTAATGAAAGGTTAACTTATAACTTAGAAAAAAATATCAAATAGTTACTTAACTTTTATACTTTGTATAATTGAACCACCGAATAAAAAAATGTACAATTAGACTATTAAAAAAATTTAAAAATTATACAAATAACATTTTTTTACAAATTACTTCCAAGTCTTCATTAAATATGATGTCATGATATCAAATTATATATAAAAATTATTTTAATTATTATTCTAAAAATTTAAAAATAATTATTTTTAATTCCAGAAGAAGGCTGCTTTCACCTTCGTCTGTTGTGGATGAAGGGGGTGGCAATCATGGTTGCCCCTGCCTTTGTCCTGGACGAGGATGGAAAGGCTACCACCTCCTTCGTTTGATCTGGACAAAGGGGAGGCAACTATGGTTGCTCCCTCCTTCATCTAGATCAGACGAAGGAAGGGGCAACCATGATTGTATCCATCCTCGTGAAGAACGAAGGTGAGGCAGTCATGGTTGCCTCTCCCTTCATCCACACGGACGAAGGTGAAGGCAGCCATGGTTATCTCCCCTTTCATCCACCTTCTTTTGAATTATTATTATTTTTTAATTTATAAAAATAATAATTAAAATAATTTTTATATATAATATAAAATTATGACATCATATTTTACCAAAAACTTAAAGATAACCTGTAAAAGATATTATTTGTAAAATTTTTATTTGTTTAATGGTTCAATTGCGCACTTTTTTTTGATGATTCAATTGTACAAAATATAAAAATTCAGTAATTTATTTTACACTTTTTCTTGTAACTTATCATTTTTAACGCGACTTTAGGAAGATTTATTCCAAAATGGTACAAGAAAATTTCCAACAAGCCCATATGTTGGTGATTATGTAATTTGTAAATCAAATGTCTTTGTTACCGGCAAATTATGTCCTGGAAACGTGTTCATCATTAATGATGAACACCGGTCTAAACGGCGTCGTTTTTACAGAAAAAAAATACTTAATGTGTTGTAAACCGCGCGCGATTGTTCATATTATGAATTTTCTGTTATGAGATTATGAATGTACTGTAAATTCATAATCTCATAACAGAAAATTCATAATCGCATAAAAGAAAAATATTTATTAAATTATGAATTTTCTGTTATGAGATTATGAATTTACAGTTATGTAATTATGAATTTTTTGTAAATTCATAATCTAATAACAAAAAATTCATAATTTCATAACAAAAAATTCATAATCACATAAAAAAAAAACATTTAATAAATTATGAATTTTCTGTTATGAGATTATGAATTTACTGTAAATTTATAATCTCATAAGAGAAAATTCATAATCTCATAAGAGAAAATTCATAATATCAAAAAAGAAAATTCATAATTTCATAACTGCACATTCATAAATCCATGCATGCACATTCATAATGTATGAATGTTGAAGAAACTTGCGCGAAAAGGAAGTGAAACCGCGAAATGTGAAAATGAAGAAGAAAAGTCGCACAGTTAATTAAGAAAAAAAAAAACAAAAAAAAAAAAAAAAGATAACGGTGTATCGTTACTGTTGAGACCGTGTTCACCATGGATGGTGAACACGGTTCCATAGCATAACGATTGTTTGCTACCTCCCCCAACACTAAAAAAATTGTTATAAAATTTTAAGCCCAATAAGACCATCGGGCTAGAAGCCCATTGGATCACCAAACGGATCGCATAAAAATTGCAACCCACTGTTACATTCTTGAATTGTAAATGAAACTTACGCCAATTTAAATCATATACCAGGGTTCACATAGCACTATAGATCCTAGATCAAAACAACGAGGTACAGAATTCATACTTAAAAGTATAAAATTTCATAACACAAGACACAAAAAATCACAACACAAGACATATACACAACCTCTCATCGAGAAATACAGACAAAAATGAAACACGAACCTCAAACTGTAAATGAAACTCGAAACTCTCATTGAGTATAGACAAAGACGAAACACGAACCCCTGAAACTATAAATGAAACTTGAAACCTATCATCGAGAAATACAAACAAGGACGAAACAAGAAATTTGAACGGTAAATGAAACTCGAAACCTCTTCTTGATAAGTACAGACAAAGATGAAACACAAACTCTCGACTATAAATGAAACTTAAAAGTTAAAACCTTTTATCGAGAAGTATAGACAAAGATGAAACACAAACAACTCGAAAAGATTAACATTGAAAACATATGGTGAGTGACTATTAGACTATGTCCTCTAATTGGGATCTTTAGACTTGATTACTTGAGCCGGTTCAAGAATGTCTCACCAATGGTAATTGCATTTGGCAAGTTGACCATAATTAAGCAATTAATTACAGCAGCTCCAATGGCAACATGGGAACATGTAACCCAAGTGCACTACATCAAGTTATCCCTTCCATATGTAGTAACATAACCCAACCTAAAAAGAATAACCAAAATTGAAGAACCAAATGCAACAGATCCATATTCAAATGCTTCAATCATCTCTATATTCATTAGAGTTATATAATATATTACACATCTCAATGTTTTACTCGATATTCCTGACGTAGCAACTAACTATTGGTGCTAAGGGATAACCCGTTTTGTTTTATATTCTTCTTTCTCTTCCACTAATGTGTGAATGTATGATAAGAGTATTACTTTTTAGAAAAATCTTTAGCATTTTTATATTCATAATGAGTAGTTTGAAAGATTTTACATAAACTTACTATAGAAATGACAGTAAATTACTCTAAATAGGAAATTTGTATTCAAACAAATGCAGGTGCAGATACCACAAACCAATGCAGTTTGAGAAAAATAATAATAATAATAGTAAAAAATAAATAAAAATAAATAAATAAATAAATAAATAAATAATAATAATAATAATAATAATAATAAGCCAACTACCTTGTAGTGTGATGGCATTCCGGTTATCATTCCAATTGGATGGGCATAGGTTTGAACCTCGGTGGTGGAGGCTTAGATTCTTTGGCTTGAAAATATTTGAGAAAGTATAGAACAGATACTACATTGTAAAGAATCATGAGTATTTCAAAAATAATACGAATATCGAGGGATCATAGTATAAGGTGAGGTAATATATGTTTAAAAAAATCATAAGATAGGAAATAACTAATAAGCCCTTGGAAAAGTAATATTCACATTCCTTAGATAACAAGTGGATAGTGAAAGTTCTTGGACAGAACATCATATTACCTCAATTACTCCAAGCTCAGAACCATTTGCTTTATCACAGTTATGGTGGCCATGGAAGCATATTTCTTCTTCATTCTGCATATTTTCTTTCTAGGGCTAGTTAGTCCAGAGATCAGCTTCACATACCATGGATTCCAGCATGCAAACTTGACGCTAGATGGAGCGGCATTCATGAGGTCAGATGGCATACTAGCAGTAACAGAAGAGTTGAGTTACAAGCTGTTTGGTCACGCGATTTATCCATCTTCTCTGCAATTCAAAGAAAGTGATCCGGGAGGTGAAAAAAAGTCTACCGCTTTTGATTTCAGCACCACTTTTGTGTTCTCCATCAACCCAAAGTACACTGATCTCGGAGGGCATGGCCTTGCCTTTGTTCTTCAGTCGAGCAAACACCCGCTGGCTTGTCTTGCTAACCAATACTTGGGTCTCCCGAATGATACGAGTGTTTCAGAGTTCAATGAAGATTTCCTGGCAGTTGAGTTTGATGTAGTCCAGAATCTCGACCTCAAGGACATTAATGACAATCATGTAGGAATAGACATATCCAGTCTCATTTCTAACATTTCTGAGCCAGCCGCATATTATGTGGATACCAACAGAACCAAGAACGTTTCCATCAATCTAAAAGGGGGAGATCCAGTTCAAGCATGGATAGATTACAGTAGCCGAGGGATGGTGCTTAACATCACTTTATCTCCACTTGGAATCTCGAGGCCAGATCAACCTCTGATATCTCTCCCAATCGACCTCTCGGGAGTTCTTGATGATTACATGTACGTAGGCTTCTCTGCTTCCACGGGGTTACTCGCTGCTGCTCATAATGTAATGGGGTGGAGTTTCAGGGTTGGAGGGAAAGCAAAAGATTTAGATCTCTCTAAGCTTCCCTCTCTTGTGAAACCCAAGAAGGTAGTGAAGAAGAGAGGATTTGTGGTTGGTTTAACGTTCGCCAGTGTGGCAGTGGTTTTCCTGCTCATCGGTGCTGCTCTTCATTTCCTGCACAAATTTACAGATGAAGATGAGATCCTTGAAGACTGGGAAATCGGGTGCAGCACCCATAGATTCAAATACTCAGAGCTCTCCACCGCTACTAGGGGGTTTGGAGAGGGAAACCTTGTAGGAAAAGGAGGATTCGGGAAAGTCTACAGGGGAGTTATCCCTAGCACAGGGCTAGAAGTGGCAATCAAGAGAGTTGCCCAAGGGTCATGTCAGGGAATGCAAGAATTTATAGCAGAAATAACAAGCTTGGGAAGGCTAAGGCATAGAAACCTGGTCCAATTATGCGGGTGGTGCAGGAGACGAGATGAGCTCCTCATAATTTACGAGTACATACCTAATGGAAGCCTGGACAAGTTGCTCTACGACAATCCTCAGCAGAAAAAGAAGATGCTCACTTGGGGGCAGAGGTACAAGATCCTTACGGGTGTGGCACAGGCATTGTTATACCTGCACGAAGAATGTCAGCAGATAGTAGTTCACAGAGACGTGAAGCCAAGCAATGTTCTAATAGATGCAGATCTCAATGCAAAGCTTGGTGATTTCGGGCTAGCAAGGATTTACGAACATGGAATCCAACCCAAGACTACACACATTGTGGGAACGCTGGGTTACCTGGCTCCTGAATTCACGAGAACTGGTAAAGCTACAAGAAGCACAGATACATACGGCTTTGGAGTGCTTTTGCTCGAGGTAGCAAGTGGCAGACGACCTATCGAGCCTCTGAAGACTGCCCAAGAACTCGTGTTGGTAGACTGGGTAAAGGAATTACATTCACAGGGGAAGATAGTTCAAGCAGTCGATCCCACCCTCGATGTGTACAATCTCCATGAAGCAGAGCTTGTCCTTAAACTTGGACTGATATGCACCCATCTCATTCCAGAATACAGACCAACCATGAGAAGGGTAGTGCAAGTTCTGTCTGGTGATGCCAGTCTTCCCAACTTTCATCCCGATTTCCACACAGCTAGGGCTACAGCAGACTACTCTTACATATATCATGACGACTCTGATCCTTTCTCGGGCAAGGCCACTTCCTCCAAGGGCACTAGCTTCTCGAGCTTTGACAATAAGATTTCTCCTAAACATGCTTCAAGGATTACTTTCTGAATCTGTGAACACACCTGAAAGCAGAAAACTAAAATAGTGCATTTGATGGTAGCTGGTAAGAGTGCAAATTGTTAATCTTCCTCTGTATGATTAACTCAAAGCACATGAAAAGTTAGTGCATGAGAGTATAGCAATGTCAAAGGATTCTATGAATCAATGTAATCGTTATGGCATAACAATCTCAAAGATGTATGAATCATTAACTGACATGCACTTTCACTCTTTTATGGAATAATAGCACTTCATATATATACTCTTTCAATGTGATCAAACTAAAGCAAGAGTAAAGAAAAATAATACAGAATTGCAATTCTCACTTCTCTCTTTCCAAACTCATTACTAAACAGATTACAACTATTGCTCAAACTTAAGTTTCTGGGAATTGAGTTGCTCGTGAATGCTCCTGAACTTCTCTTTAAGTTTTTGTATCTGCAAATTTGAATGCTCGGTAAGAGAATAGCAAAAGATAATCGTCAAAGGGGATAGAATTCATGAGAGAAACAGGCTTGTTTTACCCTTTTCAACTCAATTTCAGTTTCCCGTTTCTGCTGTCCAAACGAATGCTGCAGGTTAGTGATGTCAAAAACATTATCCAAATCATCTTCAAATGCAGATTCTAAGTCTTCGCGAAGGAGTGCTGGCAACTTGTCAACAACTGGCATGAGGAGAAAACAGTTGAACTGCAGAAAGTACCAATTGCTCAGGACTTCAGAAATAGTAACAGAAAGCAAGTTTAAGCAATCAAAAAAATAACAATAAACAATCCTGTTGACGCCAAGAAATATTCTCTTATAGCTTCTCTATATTGTATATAGACAATCTCCAACATATAAAGACGTACCTTCAATTCTGTTGACGCCAAGAAATATTCTCTAATGCCATGAAATATTTGTTGAACCAAGGCATAAACAATCCTCTCAGAAGAAGGAGCAAGCCTTCTGTTCCAAAGTGTGCTATCTAAGAGGTCAGCTAGCCTTGTTTCCGATGTCTGGGGACTCACACTTGAGTCATTCCCTGAAGTAACATGACCAACCTTTACATCTGCCCGTGGTTTAATGTCTTGCTTATTATCGCTGGTTACAGATTCAGATGACAATTCTTGACTAACAGATATAGAATTACCATTCACAGTAGAATGCTCGGATCCACCAAATGAATCTAGGAACTGACGTAATCCAGCTCGATTCTGAAAAGTGTGATGGAACATGATCAGATAAATCATTATGGTAAAGGTGGCATTGGCAAAGTAAGCAGCTTTCCAACCTTATTGTGGAGGGACCATGTTACATATCGAGTTGTGCTTACTAAATCCTCCATGCATCTGGACACAGAGAGAAAAGTAACAACCAACCAAAATTACAATAAATTTCGAAACACTCAGGTTTAGAAGCAAGTACAAACTTTTCATAATTGCTTATAGAGACGGGAGTCTAGAAAATAAGACAATCATTTAAACAGAAGAGCCAAGTTCAAAGCATTACTTTTCACGGCATGATCTTTCAGTGGATTCCGCAAAATTGTTGAAGGCAGATGCAACTCGCCTAAGAAATACATCGTGACCACTAAGATACTCACCATCTTTCTACAGGAGCCCAGCCAAAATAAGAGGAATCAGAAGGGATTAACTGCGTGTAAATTTTCTATAAGCCGAAGAAACATAATTGCTATCTGAAAAAGAATGATACATACCTGAAGAAGATATACAGCAATTGGTAGTAATCTCTTAAGAATGTGCAATAGTCTACACCCCAACTACACCAAAAGGAAAAGTATTAATTATATAATGCTATAATAGAAAAGGTATCAGTAAATTAACAAGTTCAGTTCATATTCAAAGCATGTGATATGATCTTTATTATTAGAATTATTATCCTTACTATTAGAATTGATTTATTTCCTTTAGAGATAGCAAATAATTATGGTCTAATCCCTTTAGTTTATCTCTCAACATAGACACTCCCAATAACCCTAATCGCCCTGTGACGCGTGCTTTTGCCCGAGAACATAACAGCATGCCCAAAGTTAAGTATTTTATTTATGTGAACTTTCAATGTTGAACCTTAGAGAAGACAGAGAAGTGGCATTGAAGTTGTCACCTGATGGAGAAAGGGTTCAAAGGTATCACGGGCCTTTGCAACAGCAATTACACAAGCAGTCCTAAATTCTCAATGTTCAAAGAAAATTAATATATATACACGTGTACGCGCATAAAAAAGCAAGATTGTATTGAATAAAGTAGGAAACAACAGAATAAGGTCATCTAAGGTATAGCTGCAAGTTGTAGGAACCTGGAATAGTTAGTTCCATCATGAATGTCTTCAACTCCACAAGCATTTACAATTTCTTCACGAGTAATTGGAGGGCATTTGATTCCTCCAACAACAAACCGGAACTCAGCCATCGCACGATGATATTGAGCACCACCATAAAGACGCATCCCAGCATTCTACCCAAAGAGCGAAAATATCAACATGTAAGCTACATTGATCCAGGTGAAGTATTGGGTTGAAGCCTAAGGCCCTAAGTAAACTATATTTTGGTTGCAACTCTAAAAAGATATCTCAAATAAGAAGCGAGGTGCAAAAAGCCAGAGGTGATAAAATCAATAAAATGATCAAAATTCATACTTGCATGCCTCCATTTAAGTATATAACCAACACTACAGCTACAGACACTCCAGGCTTACAGGTATTAGCTTGTGTGGGAACTGAAGACCATCAGATCCAATAAATGCCCCTCCATTGACCCTTTCATCTTGGAGAGCTTCCCCTGCAATACAAAGGCATGAATCCATGAGATACCCAGAACTTACTCTTTTAAAGAAAGCAAGTTCCCATTTACACTTCACAAAAATTGAAATTTCTAGCTTTCACATTTGAAAAAAAAAAAGTTGAATATAAACTTTATTCCACTGATACAGCAACCAAGTTATTAAAGAAAGAGCTGACTAATGAATGGTGTGGAGTGTGGACACCATCAAAAGGCAAATAAGTGAAAGATGGAACTTTTTATTTGCAAGATAAACCAATAATGGTAAAAAAAAAAAAATATGAAATAGAATCAAGAACAGAATGTTGTTCTTAGAGTTAAGTTAACCCAGGGAAAATTTTGCCTTAGCAACATGAAGGCCTTCACATGATATCCATGTGTTAAAGAATTGATGGAGCAGAGCTATCAAGAAGATTGATTACCAAATTTATCTGGTGGTGCAACAACTGTCCCTTTCAACAACAGTGATAACTGAGAAATAAAGAAATTTACGTCAGAATATCAATAAGCAGGGACTTCCAAAATACTTTTAATCCAAATGCTTTGAAGTCAAGTTAATAAGATCTTTGAAATTAGGTGATCTTATGTGCATGGCTATTCCTGACATGCAAACTTTATAACAGAAGAAATCCAGAAAGAAAATGAACTTGATCTTATGACAGTGAAATACTATAAAATAGACTTAAGAGAAATATACTAAAACTTAAGAATAAGTTCTAACCTTGGTCAGAAAGAGATCATGAAAAACTCTGCCTTTCTCCTTGAGTTTCACTTTATCCAATGAGCTGAAGTACACATTTAAGGAAAAGAGTTGGAAAAAGAAATATTAGAAAACAGGAATGCATTATTTTAATAGTTAGTGCACCCCAATTTTATTTCCGACCCTAAAAGTAAGACATCTCAACGCCTTGCATTAAAGCAGTGCAGGTATCCAGTACACTCGCAACATCTAGATCACTTAAACAAGATGCAAACCTGAGCTCCTCATTAATTTCATTTAGCTTCCTTGTGCTGCTTCGATGCTCTTTTTCAAGGAGTGGAATGATTGATGGTACACTATCCATATACCTTAAAATGGCACGTCTCAAAATTTCAGAACTAAATAAATCATCAGACAGCAAAACAAAGCCCTAGTGGAAATAAGAGAAATTCTTAACCTTTTTAGCAGCAACTCTTCCAAAAATAGCCTAAGACTGCTAATACCTATCCTGTTTCTTTCCTGTTTTGAAAGTGGTCTGCACAGCTTCTCCTCCAATGCTGAAACATCTTCCGCTTCCCTTGAAGAAATAGCCTGTCAACCAGAGTAGTAGTATTTAGAAGGATAAGAGAACTTCCTGCAAAGAGCAGGGACCTAGGTCAATATTTTAACTAGCCTAGGTCCAACATGAAAGCAGAAAGGAATCAGGGATCACTATATATTATAAGGACAATTCTACACAAGAAAAATTCTTGTTCATGTCCCAACTTAGACCATCTTACGTGTATGACAACAGAATCATTCATATATTAACCTGTTTGAACTCATCATTAGATCTGTAAACTGATTCAGGTCCAGAACCAACTCTTCCTGAAGGCACAGACGTGAAAAATGGAGAATCTCCCAGCATGAAGCCATCAAGTGCAGAAGCAGGAGGTGAGAGGAAGACTTCTACATCTGAAGACCGTGCAAATTGAGGTATTTTGGTGTCAAGTTTTGTTGCAACAACTACCGTCCTTGACAGCTCAGGATCAATCTGTATACGATTCCATAAGAAATCAAGCAGTTTATTGACTTACTCGGTAGTTATTCCATTCTGATTGCAAGACAATTGCATATTTGGAATTGGAGATCATTGTGAAAATTGAAATTCAACCAATAAAGGAGTTCATACCTGCATTACTACCCTCCTCGTAGTTGCATTGCTCCAATCATTGCAATCTTCAAGGCATAATATGATGAACTCTCTGTGCTGCATTTTAGCTCTCACCAGAGATTCCACTGCACGAGCTTGCGCCTGCAATTCGCAGTCTCGATTCTCAAAATTCCTAGCACAGGTCTCTAGAATAATCCAAAGACTAAAACAGATGGCTTAAAGATTGTACCTGGAATGCCCGATTCTTTCTACTTGGAGCAGGCGCAACAAGTCCTGGAGTGTCTATAATGGTAAGGTTGGGACAATACTTATATTCTATTCTGATAATTATTTCTTTCGCAGAAAACTGGCACGGCTCCTTCTCCAACCTCATGTTCTCAGCTTCTATAAATTCCTACACAGAAATTCCAAAAAAAATAAAAAAAATCACAAAGAACAATGCCATTATACTAGCCATGCAACAACAGTGTCAGTACAATTTTGCATAATTACTGTTAATTTTAACAAGAACATGAATCAATAACAATGACAGAAAATAAGTAGGAAGAGAAGATTTACATGTTTCAACAATGTACCTAAACTAAACTGTTCTTTTATTAATTG